TCGCACCATCTTTGACAGAGTTATGCCCCTTGGACTTAGAAAAAATCCAATTATTTGCCGTTTCCGTTCATTTTCTTTGCAACCGTTGTACATATTGAAATGAAATTTGGTATACAGATATATCAAATAAATATCTAGGTCGAGTTCTGTTTTGGGTACAATCGCATAATTTTTGACAGAGTTATGCCCCTTGGACTTGGAAAAATTCCAATTTGGGGGGAGGGGGGCATAAGTGTTTTACAAACATCTCTTGTTAATATAGTAGCTTTGCCTGTTATGCAAATTATCCCTTGTTTCCCACTATCGTTGAAGTCCAGGCATACTTTACATGTACTAACTAGACAGTGATTCCTTACATGTATATTTCCAACTCACTGTGAAATAAAATTGTAGATTAAGATGTTTAAAATGTAGACTAAAAGATTTAGATTACACGAGGACTCCCATGCCAATTTCAATTTCAATAGTCCTTGCCCACTGACGTCAAACACAAAGACAGCGGCATGAGTTGGACACATTGACAGATAGATGTGCTTGAGATTTACATGCATATAAGGCCTCCTTAGCTCTTGACCTTTAGATTTAATTGCCTTATTTGCATTCTGGTAGAATTATCAAGAAATCAACTCCATTAACTTTCAAAGAGTTATCATAGAGAAAAAAAAATTAGAAATGTAAATATTATGAAGTATGATATGTGCTTGATTCAGAGCAGGACCACAATAGGAAATCCAATTTTCACATTGAAATATCTTCTTCTCAAGATTCACTGGGCCCAAAAGGCAGAAACTGATGTGGAAGCATCCTGGGATATTTTTAATTCTAATTTATTCAAATCATGACCCCAGGGTTTAGGGTGGGGCCACAATAGGCAATCTTAATTTTTATATTAGAATATTCAGGAAAAATCTGTAAAATCTTCTTCTCAAGAACCATTGGGCCAGAAAAGCTAAAAGTGGAAGCATCCTAGGGTAGTGTAGATTGTAAATTATTCAAACCAAGACCCATTGGGATAGGGTGGGGCCACAATAGCTATTACAAGGGGGGGGGGGGAGATCAGGTTAAGAACAGCAGGATTACTCAGGTGAGTGTTGTGGTCCATGGGCCTCTTGTTATATGATCGATGTATTTATTGGTTCATTCCATCATGGAAGGATGACTTGCTATTTCCAATAAATGTTTTTTTTATAAATGGTTTTTCATTTTAAGAAGAGCATTACATAACTAAGAATTATAATTTCTTATATTCTTTTATATCACTTTGTCAGATGATCTTTTGTCCTCCATTTTACTCTGTTTTACTTCATTATGTGTCATGAGTTTCTTCAGATGTTTTGGTTTTCTGCTTTATAACTTCTGGGCCAAAGTCAACCAACCTGGTCTTAAAGCATCTTTAGGTATTAATAGGCATTTAAGTTTATTCAAAAGAATGCCACTGTCCATTATTGTGTTTAAGAAAAGTAAAATCAGGGTGGCATAATTGAAAAAAAAATGATTCAGCAAAGGGAAATAACTGTTGCAATGATATTATTGTCCTTTTGATGAGATTGGGCTCAGATAGATCTTATGTATAAGAAGAAAGATCAAAATGTCTTTATTGGAAATGAGTTGGTTTAAAATACCCAGGTGACTGTGAGGGCCCAGGAATATATTGTCTGTATTATATTTCAATACATCCAATATAATGTTGTTTAACAAATGACGTCAATGAGAATAATTGGAAAGAAATTAAACATTTGATGCTTTGATCTACTGTAACTATACTTTTATAACTATGAGCATATCATTTGCTGTACCTTAATTTGATTTGGATTAATATGAGAATTTTCTTTTTTTTATTGTTATATTTTTTTAACTTTTATTGCTTTAAGCATTTATATGTTTGCCAATACATGTCATGCAATATATATTTTAAATACATCTGTAATATGTACATGTACTTCGTAAATGTACTCTTACAACATGTTTTTTTTACCTGGTATAATTATGTACACAGAAACTTACAGTACATTTTTATTTTAATTGTGCTCTATTACAATGTACTCTTCCTAATTATTTAATGATATTAAATGTATACACTTCTTAATTATTTAATGATACTAAAATTTAAATGTACTCTTCTTTAGTTAATTCTTTAATGACATTTACCTGTTGACAGGTGCGTGACCTGGTTACCGTGGTGATACCACTTCGTGAGGTGGTACTGGTAGAGAAGGTTGACAATGCAGCCAGTGGTGAATTAGGAACTGATGCCTTGGTGGTCACTACTAAGGGGAAGGTATTATAAGATGGCTTATTTACATGTATACATCAATATTTGTTAGTTCATATGATATGGTAAATTTTTATCTCACCTGCACAAATGTCCAGTTAGTGTATTGTACCTCTTTTTTTCCAAAATGATGGATATTTATTTGGGTCTGCCCCAAAATCTGTCTGTATAGCTGTATTTCATTCTGCCTGTCTATAACATTTAATCTGATACTAGATATTGATAATATTTCTTAAAGTTGTTCTTTTCATCAAAAAGATATTTCCAAATAATTGGCAAAACACTGTCAGGCTCATTATGGGAAAATTATTTGGCCTATAAACATCAAACTTGGAAAGAAAATACATCTAAGCTAAAAGGTGTGTTGCATCCTACATTAAGGACTCTGTGACCTGTAATGCAGATAATATGACCAAATATAATCAAACTCTGTCTTGTTTGTTATCAGAAAATTATTTAGCACAGGAAGATAAAATTGGACAGATATTGCATTTTAAGAAGAAGCTGTGACAAACTTTTTATAAAACTTCAATAAAGGGGATTTAAAAAAAAATAGAGAGGTCTTTTCTACCAATGCTTAAGAGTGATGCAGAAACCTTTGAAAAATTAACACCAAGAAACAAGAGGTCCAGGGGCCTTATAGGTCACCTGAGCATCATGAAACAACCACCAACAATTTGAATTGTGTACATGTTGTAAACCAGAGGCCATGACATTCACAATTTTGAAAGAGGCACCATTAGTAATCATAAGTACACACTAAGTATGCATAGTTTAGTTACTTAATAGTAATATCCATAGGCAGAGTAGGGGAACAAAAATGCATTTATAGTAAACAGTAATATTGGACTATAATCAGTAGTGCCCCCACACCACAAAAACCCCTGACCTTAGCTCCACACATCATACAATTTTGGAAAATTTAAGGCACCTTTGCTCATCATAAAAATTTGATTACTATACCAAGGAGCAGATATCAAAGCATAATTCATTTTCAGTATATAATCTTTAGAGCTCCCCTCTATGCCCCACTCCTCAGGTCCCAGGGGGGCAAGGAGCAAGAAATTTACAATTTGTGTTCCCCTTCTCCTATAGATGCTATATGCCAAAATTGGTTCAGCGGTTCATAGAGGAATCTGAAAATGTTCAAATGTTAATGGAACCAGAGAGCTTTAGTTTAAAAATTTGCAGCTTATATTTTTTAATTCAAAAATTTTTTAAAAATAAATTTACAAGGGAGATTTTCTTATATTTTTCAGAACAACTTCATATTCTCTCAGCTTCCTGTACGAGAGTTTATTCTGCAGAAGCTTTCGGATTTCTTGTCCAGAGTTGAGGAGCCCTCAGACAAGAGGTACCAGTAAATGAATTCAAAGTTACTGTATTAGGGATCAGTATAAAGTGAACAAAATTGTCTATTGATGTTTTATGCATTAATTGTCAATTTACTGTTGTAGTATGTCATTTGGCTGTATATTCTATTTTAAGTGTCTTTGGAGGAAAAGCAGTTTTTACTGAAAACAATATGTTTTCCATATATTGAACAAATAGCAATAAGGGGGGGGGGCTCTGTTCCTAGTCTTGCATTCATTGTGCCTTCTATTTACTAAATTAAAGTTATCTCTAGCATTGTATATTTATTGACAGGGTTTAAGAGCAGCGTGGGTTTTGTCAGACCCTAGAACTAAACTGTTTGCATGAGACCTAATGCAACAGTCTGGTTCGACAGTCAACCTTTTACTTTTTATTTTTATATTTGAGATATATCATGATGTAAATTTCGTTTAAACTTGGTCCATTAAGGACATACACAAGGTACCTTACCTACTGATAATTTTTTAAGATATTCTTAATTTAAGATTATTGTGCTATCAGATGTTCATAGACAAAAAATCAGCATGCATTACCAGGGTTTTTTGGAAGATATCAATTTATGAAAATTTTTGCATTGTTCAAAGAAATATATACCAAAATTACATAACATAATTTTCAGATTTTTTCCATCAAAATTTGTTTTAGAAGAGGTCTACAAATCCATATATAGACATTAAAAGTATTGCAAACAGATCTTTCATTTAGTGGAACTCTTCAACTCCAGGGAAGAGCCCAGTAAAATTCAAACTATGTTGCGTATGACCTTAAAGTAAAGTTCTCAAATTCAATAATTTTTGCTTCAGAGAACTAATAAAGATGATTATAATAAAGTCTTAGAACTATTTTACACAGGTTTGACTTCAATGAAAATTTATAAATTCTACTAGTAGATGTTTGTATCAACTCTGATTACTACAAGTCTTTGTTTCAGTCCTTCAAGACAGAACTCAGCCTGTGATAGTGTCACTAGTGTCACCAGTTCTCCAGGTTAGTGCCTAAAGATTCCGTGAAGACCATCAGTCTCTAGGGAACAAGTATCATGCTTTTTTTGTCAACTTTGTCTTATTTTCATAAGTCTTAGAAGTAATATACACAGGGGAATACTTGATATCGTGATTACTTAACTTAGTGGAACTCTTTCGCGATGGAGGTAGGAAACATCTGTTGCATGGGGGCAAATGTGCTACTGAATACAATGCAAGATCGATCATTGTAGAATAAGTAAAGAATCCTGGTGGAATACCTTGCTTAACAATCGCTGAACCAGCCTAATAAATTTTTGAGAGGAGCTAATCCTAAAATGTTACATTTTTTACGATATTTTTAACTAAGCAGACTCTTTTCATTAAATTTAAATTGAAAATCGTCACATTTCAAAGCTGATAAAATATTCTAAACTTTCGTTATTTGACAATATACTATTTGGAGTTCAATCCTTGGCAATATATTGTACTTTCGGCATAAAATTGTTCGAATCATTTGATTGTCACTACTGTAAACAATGTCATGTGCTCCAGTGAGATTTAGAGCTTTCTTGACTCCTCCGCAAAAGAGTGGTAGTAAGGTAGATAACTGCGAGGTATTCATGATATTACGTATTTACCTTCCATTCAGTTCTCTGACTAGTTTTTTTTATATATTTTTTAAAAATAATGTTTGATTGCATGGTATTCAGTACTGAATACATGGCATATGCAGGCAAAAGTCTTCAGCTATCAAAATTAAGTAAATTGAAAATTAAAGAGAAATAAGAGGGAATTAAGCTATTTAAGTCATGATTCTCAGAAAGGTATCAAACTTAAAATACATTGTAACTTCCTTTGCTATGAGTTCTTGATTTTTCAAAGAAAGTCAATTCCAATTTTCCCTTAGAATCTCTCATACAACATGTACCAATTTGATTCCATTCTTCTTTTTAAATATATTTTTTTGCTATTCAAATTGTTTGACCATCTATACTCACTAATAAAAAAAAAAAAACAATTGATTCACACTTCCTTCACAATTTGTAGCTGATGACATCCAGTTCCAGCCAGCTTTGGTCAGCTTGTTTCACAGGAGGCATTCAGATGAATTGTCTGCGAGAGAAACTGTCAAAGAACATCTATGGGATGTTCATTTCTCAGAATACGGCAGGTGGGATATTTCTATAAAGAACACAGATCTTAAGTTCTTTTACTCAAGACAAAGTTTTCAATTTCAATTCAGTTCTTGAAATTGCTGAAAAAGTTCAAAATGTTTAATATTATTCCTGTAAGATTGGGTCGCTTAATACACACCAACGCCTATGCCAGCAACAGATTAAAGTATCTATTGAATGAGGTTGGTTTTGTTTTTCCCATACATGTACATGTATTAATGTGTATATTTAGGGGTGTATGTATGTACAGAACCCACAAGACCCAGGACCTTATTTTACAAGGACTGCCAGAAAAGTTTAGAGGGGAGATCTGGATGCTGTTTTCTGGTGCCATAAATGAGGTACAGCAGGAATTTTAAAATTTTTCTACTGTCTGTGGAACACGGATGTGTGGTCAAGTTAACAAGTAGGAAATCATGGATTGAATCTCTCTTTTCAGTTTTCTTGTCCATCTGTTTTAATAAGTATTGTAAAGAAATGACCACATTAGAAGTGTTTTATTCAAAAGAAACTTTATTATTATGCTATCTAAATTTAATTCTCTGGTTCTCAGGCCAATTTTCTCCAAAACAGAGGCATTTTATTTATCATTTTATTGGCAATAAAGTAGGTGAGGGAGGTATTTTTAGCTCACCTGAGCCGAAGACTCAAGTGAGCTTTTCTGATCAAAATTTGTCTGTTGTCTGTCGTCGTCCTCTTCGTTGTTGGCGTTGTTGTAAACTTTTCACATTTTCATTTTCTTCTCATCAACCACTGGACCAATTTCAAACAAACTTGCTACAAAGTATCCTTTGGTAAGGAAGATTCAAGTTTGTTCAAATGAAGGGCCACTCCCTCTTCCAAGGGGGGATAATTATGAATTAGTGAAAAATTAATGTCATTTTTAAAAAAACCACCGGGCCAGGAAAGATGAAACTCATGTGGAATCATCCTCAGGTAATGTAGATTCAAGTTTGTTCAAATCATGACCCCCGGGGGTAGGGTGGGGCAACAATGGCCGATCAAATTTTTACATAGGAATATATAGGAAAAATCTTTAAAAATCTTCTTCTCAAGATACCGGTACATAGAGACAGAAAAGATGAAACTCATGTTGAATCATCCTCAGGTAGTGTAGATTCAAGTTTGTTCAAATCATGACCCCGGGGGTAGGGTAGGGCCACAAAAGCTGATCAAAGTTTTACATAGGAATATATAGAGAAATCTTTAAAAATTTTCTTCTCAAGTACTGCAAAGCCATGATTAGTGATACTTATATAGAAGCATCCTCAGGTAGTGTAGATTCTAATTTGTTCAAATCATAACCCCCAGGGATGGGGTAGAGCCACAATGGGTGATCCAAGTTTTACATTAAAATATATTTTTAAAAAAATCTTCTAAAGAACAGCAAAGCCATGACTAGTGATATTTATATGGAAACATCCTCAGGTAGTGTAGAATTAAATTTGTTCAAATCATAACCCCCAAGGGTAGGGAAGGGTCTCAATGGTGGATAAAAATTTTACATAGGAAAATAAAAAGAAAAATCCCAATAACAGAAAAGCTATTTTTAGCTTACCTCAACGAAGTTGGGGGAGCTTATGTAATACCCTCGGCGTCGGCGTCCCAGGTTAAGTTTTTTGGAGCAGTTTTCTTTTTAAGTACTTCTATGTCCTATATTGATTAGACATGCATGGAAGATGGTTCTAGTGTGTTTCATTGTACCAGTCAAAGTTTCAGATGCTGCAATTTCAGCAAAGGAATGACCAGGTTAATGCTTTTGGAGCAGGTTAACATTTTTGGTGCAGTTTTTGGTGTAGGTTTCATTTCCAAGTAACTATAAGCTCTATATTGACCAAACTTGCATGGATGATACATCTAAGGATGCATACTACCGGGCTTGCTTCGGATGCTGAATCTGACCTATATTTTCCGGTTGAGTGAACAGGTTAAAGTTTTGATGCAGGTTTCATTTCCAAGTAACTATAAGCCCTATGTTGACCAAACTTGCATGGATGATACATCTAAGGATGCACACTACCGGGCTTGCTTCGGATGCTGAATCTGACCTACATTTTCTGGTTGAGTGAACAGTTAAAAGTTTTTGGTGCAGGTTTCATTTCCAAGTAACTATAAGTCCTATGTTGACCAAGCTTGCATGGATGATACATATAAGGATGCATACTACCAGGCTTGCTTCAGATGCTGAATCTGACCTACATTTTCTGGTTGAGTGAATAGGTTAAAGTTTTTGGTGCATGATTCATTTCCAAGTAACTAGGAGTTCTTTAATGACCAAACTTGCATGGATGATACAATAAGGATGCATACTACCAAGCTTGCTTTGGATGCTGAATCTGACCTACTTTTTTTGGATGAATGAAAATATTAGTTTTTGATGCATGTTTCATTTCCAATTAACTATGAGCCCTATAATGAGCAAACTTGCATGGACGATACATCTTAGGATGCACACTAATGGACTTGCTTCGGATGCTGAATTCGACATACATTTTTCAGATAATAGACCAGGTAAAAGTTATGGGTGCAGGTCTATTAAAAAAAAACTATAAGGCTTAGGCCAGGTAAAATTAATCTTTAGATTCTCATCCTAATTTGCAAAAAAATTAGGGCGGGTGGGCGGATTTTATTTTTTATTTTTTATAATTGTTAAATTGTAAGTATTAACAAAACATGGACTCTTCGTACACATTTTATCATTATGTTAATGCCAATATGAATAGATTTTATTTTTTTTTCATATTCTTTTAAATATTTTAAAGAAAATTCTTACTTAAATTAGATATTTATTGTTAATTAACAAATTATCAAGTACACATATACGTACGGCACACACAAAACAAAATAAGGTGGGTTCTTATATCAATAAATTTTGTATGCATGACGTCTCAACAGGTTTGATATTTAACATTTTCTTAGCACTAAACATTCTCTAAAGCCTGCCTACGATGTTTTATTTTTTTTTCAAATCAAAATCACACACAGTTGGAGATCGTTTAAACTTGACCAGGTGTCATTTTCCAAAATCTTTAAAAACTTGCTCATGAATGCCAGTGATGGTATCTAGATGTGTTTATGCCATTATTTTTTCTCTGCCTTCTCTATACTGACAAATAATCTTTTCCTTACATATTTAAACTGATTTTATTGCCGATTTTTCTCCATTCTTCACATGGCTCTTTTGCTACAAATAGCGACACGCGACTTTTAATACGGACGGGAGATAACTCTTAAACTTCACCCAAATTCTTACTGAATAAAAATACATGAAAATGCCTTTAATAACACCCAAAAATCAAAATAAAAAACTCCGGGCGGGACATTTTGAGAGGGGCGGGCGGGGATGAGAATCTAAAGATTAATTTTATCTGGCCTTATATAACATTGTATAAACCAAACTTGCACAAATGTTGCATCAAGAGATGAAAACTCTCAAATTTGCTTCAGATGCTGGATTTTGATTACATTTTCATGAAGAAGAACTAGTTTAAATTTTTTATGTAGGTCTATTTCAAAGTATCAGATCAGAATTGCTTAAATATTTTCATTTTTGGAATGTACACTTTTTGTTGGTTAATTGTGTGACTTTGCCTTACTTAAAGACAACATTCATTGAGGTGAGCTCTGTAATCTCTGATTACCTATGTTTATTCATATTGACATTTAAGCATCCTCATGTATTGAAGATTTAACTTTGTCCAAATCATGAGTACCCTATGGTGTAGGGAGGGAAACAATGGGGAGTCAAATTCAAATTATTACAAAGTAATATATACAAACAAAATGTTAAAAAAAATCTTTTTTCTCAAGAAGTTATATGCAGTATTGATATGGAGGCATTCTCAAGTAGTTTTAGAATTCAATCCCCCTCCCCCCACCCCCTCAGTAAACTTTTCAGTTCTGATCTGATTTGTGCTTTTTCCTAGCCGATTTGCTCAGGTGAGCGATGTAGCCTTTGGGCCTCTTGTTTTAATTTTAATTTTCGAATTTTCTTTAAAATAAAGATAATTTTTTATTCATTTAGATATTTAGACATTTTAGATATACTTCCCGTTTTTGATCAAAAGGTTTGCTTCATCCATTGCTTATCAGTGTGTGAACATCGTAGGCAAGTCTTCGAATGTATTTTCAAACGAAGTAGCCAAAGTCTCTTTGCAAATGGCCACCGGAAGTTATATTTGAGTAGTGAACTACAAAAAAATGAGGACGGAATTTTTTTGCGGATTGGTCTCTGCAATACCAACTTTTTATTTATTCAAACATACAATAAAATTAGCAATGCGGCTACCTCAAAACGGATGTGCGCGGGCCTGAGAACCAGAATTTCAATTTTATGTAGCCTTAGTTATTTCACCACAAATGTTTTTCAAATGACATGAAAGAATAATGAATCAGAAGTGATAATAGGACAATTATTGAATATATTTGTGAATTGTATTAATGTCATCAAAAAAAATAATGAGGTGTTAATAGATTTTATTTAAAATAATTTAATTTTTGTATTTTGAATATTAGGATACATAACAAATTTCCCAAACTTCACGTATGCCGGATAAATTTCATGCACAGCCTTGAATATGAATAGAAAAGGTTTCAAAATTTGATATTTTTGAGGATGATACCCAATTGAGAATTCAAATATATTTACAATCATTAGTTTAATTCACAAGTTCCTCTAATTTATTAATTAAGTCTTCATTTATATGATTTGCAAATTTCAACATTCATTAGATATAGTTTTTCACAGTTGGTAACAACATGTCAATGATTGACTGTGTTGTTCTCAACATCATAGATATTATTTACATTTATCTTCACTCTGTATTTTGAGATTTTGAAATTAACTGGTTTTACATACAGTATTGGCTAGAGTAGTGATTGCATGCATGATTACATGTACTTGTTTGTGATGACTGACTGAACACTAAGTGCCAGGTATTTTTAGCTCACCTGAGATTTTCTAATCACATTTTGTCTTTACAGTTCTTTTGTATGTCTGCCTGTCCATTTGTCCCTCTGTAAATCATTAACATTTTAGACTTCTTCTCAAGAACCAGGGGGTGAATTTCAACCAAACTTGCCATAAATATTCTTGTGTGAAGGTAATTTAAGTTTGGGCAAATAGAGGGCCACATCAACTTCCAAGGGGAAATAATTAAGAATTAATGAAAATTTGGTACATGTAGTACGTGTATCTTTTAGATATCACTGTTCCAAATAAGTTGTAACTTATGCTAAACCTTCATAATGTAGTCTAGAATTAAATTTGTTCAAATCATGACCCCATGGCTTTGGTAGGGTAAGGCCACAATGGGTGATCAAATTTAACATAAGACTACTG